TTAGAAAATATGACTTTCTTGTTACTTTTTAGTCCCTAAAAAAGACAATAATTATTATGATAGACTAAAAATAAAACAAAAATAAATAACCCCTCAGTTTCCTATAACACTCTTATAAGTAATGGGCATTCATATAAGTATGGAAGTACGAAAGTGTTGAAAGTTTCGTCAAGGAAAAAAATACAAAATCAACAACAACACAAAAAACATCAACACATCAAACATGTGTATCATTTTTCCTCTTGCTCCGCGGGTAACCTCATGTGAGACAAAATGGTACTTATTTCTAAAACAGGTATAGCACAGCGTAGGTACTGGCAAACTGTTAGTTTCCGTCCATTTGTGCAATGGTCACATGTTGAAACCCGATCGAAACACCACTGTTATACCACTATACAGCTTTCTTAATGGTGTCAACTTATTAGAGCTCTTACATTGAAGCAGTTTATTTAATATCTTAAACAACCAGGTACATAACAGTTACTTGTTTTGTTTTAAATCTAAAATAGAATGTAATTTTACATAACCACGGTTACCTGCAAAGTTACCTGCAGCCCATATTGTTGCTAGCATTGGTTCTTCTATTTACTTTAAAAAAAAACATCGTGGAACGTGTCGAAACTTCGGCATCGACGCCGTGTCTTACAACAAAAGAATTCTGTATGATTTGGACCAATTGTGTAAGATAATGTTTCGAGTTCTAGGCTTATGACAAATTGCATTTGACTAGCAACATCTATTAATGCTTACAGAACGATTAAAGTACAGGTTAGATTGAAATCTAGCCTATTAGTCCTAGTCTAGTAACCAAGAAACAATTACAAGTAACCATGTCACAGATAAAAAGACAGACAAAAAAAATCACAGACAAGAAAAATGCTTGATTTCGTTTACAAATTCAGAACAACTTTTCAAATATAGTAAAAATATAGTTTTCTTGCCCGATGGTTTACTTGCTACTTGAATGGTCAACCAATTCCTAACAATAATTTCACTCTGAGAAGGTTAAATCTAGAACTTTTTAACATGGTTATGTTTCAGAAGAAATCCTGAGATGAGAGAATGATTTTTAATGATTTTCGTTGTGGCTTTAGTCAACTAGAGAGTTGCCAGAGACTTAAATTGGCATTTGGTGAAATAGCACCATGTCGCAGCTCTGTGTATTCGTAGTTTGGAGAATTGATACGTAGACGTGATCATTTCCATGACGAGGTACGTGAAGGTCGGCCGGCGACTGGGGTACATCCTCCAATATTGACACCGTACGACAACTTCTTGAAACTGACAAAAAAATTACCTGCCAGTAAATTCGTGCTTTGTTAGGCATTTGAATGAGCCAAGTGTAAAACATTTGATATGTGCACCTGAAAGTTAGGAAGCTTTGCACTCGACGGATACCGCATGACTTAACGGAGGACCAGAAACGTGTTAAGTGGTGCCGTAAAGTGATAAAAAAGTTTAACGGAGGACAGTCATTGGCTGTTTATAATATCGTAACAGGTGACGAAACCTGGGTGTACAGCTTTGAACCTGAAAGGAAAAGCCAGTCGGGAGAGTGGGTCTTTCCTTTTGAAGATTTGCAAACGAAAGTTAATAAAAGTCGAAGCACTGTTAAAAAAAAATGGTTGCTTATTTTTTCGGCAAATCAGGACATTACACCACAGTATCGCTTGTTGATCAAAGGACAGTGACTGCAGATTGGTACGACAACACTTGCTTGTCTAGAGTCTTAGAAAAAGTATAGGAAAAGCGTCATCGAAGCAATATCCTCCTTCACCACGATAACGCATCCTCACAATTCACTAAGGTAACACAAATCTTCTTGAAGGCTTCAAATGGGGAACTAAGGATTCATCCACCTTACAGCCTGGATTTCGCACCCTGCTGCTTCTTTTTGTTTCCAAAAATTAAAAACAAACTTAGAGGCACATGTTTTACGAGCCCTGAATTGGCGGTGAATGCGTTCCATGAAGCCATTGAAGAGGTCCTTAAGGAAGACTGGTGTAACTGCTTTGTACAGTGGTTTCAGCGAATACAAAAATGCATTAATTATGAGGGAATATACTTAAATAACCAACAAATGTATCGTAAGTCTTATATTTAGTCTTATTTATGAGAATCCAGGCACTTCCAGTATACCCTAAGTTACTTATCTCTTTCTTTAATAATGCCATTAAATTATCTGAATTCTTGTAATCGATTATCTTTTTCAATACGTTATTGAAGCTATAAAAAGGCTTCCTAAACCTTATACCGCTAAATATCGACAAATCCTATCCTTCACTTTGTAATTTTAATCAGGATAAACCGAACATGTTGAAAGAGTCTAACGCCAAACAGGTTACCGTCGCCAGTACTTATACATTATCTATTTATACAATTATACAGCTTTCTCAACACTCTGTCCCTGGTTACGTAAAAGTTAGTAATAGTTAGTCCTGCTTCGATTACGTGTAACACATAGTCGAGTCCGGTCGCTATATACTTAGTTGCATCTTAGTAACTCGCAAAGGTAGCATTCCAAGTTCAAATTTATTTTTAGGCAATTTAATAGTCTGAAGTAGTTTTTTTAATCTCATGGGAATTTATTTAAATGAAGGGTTATATTATCTATTTTTAGTTTCTATTACTTCTAGATGTAAAGATAATAATAATAAGACGAGTAAGTAAATAGAGCATATACGAGTAAGTGACATAGTCTCTAAATGGGTTTCAGTTTATAAAATCTCTTTACTTTTAGTAAATGCAATCCTGTTTTAATGACAAACAATGATAACCATGTTCATGTTCAACAAAACATCTTTTTTATCAAAACACTTCAAAGACATACCTCGTAACGCGCAGTAAAAAACTAGTCGTTAAGTACATCATCGTAATAATGATGATAAATGTGGATTTATTATTTGAGAGTCATGCGGACCTATTGCATTTGAAAGATTAGGTAATAGAATGAATATAAGTTATACAAATGCATCCACTTTCAGCGATGGGAAAAGCTTCTACATGTTTTCAAAAATGTAAGGGGATTCCTCCCTTTACATTCTCCCCCCCATCATTTTATCATTTTAGGGATATGTTATATGGACGCCGAAAATGCTCCAATTGAAAGGTCTGTCGATTTTAAAGTGACAGAAGCTCGTAGCGAATTATCGAAACTGCAAACTGTAAATTAGAAAAATCGCCATTTCGAAATATCCGAGCTTGTTAGATTTTATACAGACAGTTCAGTTTGATGTTCCTCTCATACTAGCCAAAAATTTGACGATAATTTTGCAGGATATTTTAAATCTGACGGTTAGAAATATTTTGATTTTTTATAAAATGTGACAAATAAAGGCACGAAAAATTATGTAGACATTTAAAGAAGATTTCTTGCATTGTTTACTTCAAAATAAAAAAAATGTCACGTTCATGGATATTTTTCTGGAACTTTGTGATCCTCCCACTGTTTTATATTACGCTCAAATCGTCCGATTTTTTAAATACACACTAATGTGTATGTAATTGACTCAACTTACCTTAATCTTACTCGAGTATTTCTGGCTATCAATTTTTTTTTAACTAACTTTATGGCCCTTGATACTGCCCCCTTTATGTAGGGCTCATGTATGGTCAAGATACTCAACTGGGTGTAAGGTATTCCTCCTATTCTGATCTGACACGCTCGAGTTAATCCAGAAATTCCCTTCTAGGGCTCCCTTACTATAATAAAAGCGTGAGTGCACAAATAGTAGGTATGTCTATTTGCTGCTTGAAAATCTGGCAACGCCCACTTTTTTTCTTAAATTTAGTAAAATTCTGAGAAAAGTATTTGGAACTATTAGAAATAAAAAAAGTCATTAGTAATAATGAAAAGAATATCAAGCGACTTCCGAATTTCAAGTAGTCCATAGACAGCGGTATGTACTTACCATTAGATAACCCACTCGCTAGTTTTCCCCCTATATTACACAATAAATATGTAAAAATATATGAAAGGACTGGTAGAGTTCTTTGGATGACGAAGCAAGCTTGCGACTAATGTGCAACCGAGGCAAATGTTGATATTAGTCTGATTTTTTACTAACCATGTAGGTACTTCAAAATAGCCGAGGACACAGTAGAAAAAAAGGTTGTGCATAGGTTGTTCTTAACCGAACCTCTAACCAGAACAGCAGGTAACACCCCTGTTACCTGCTGTTCTGGTCAGAGGTTCGGAAAGAAGAAAATTACCATCGGAAACGAACAGGTGCTCGAAAGGATAGGAGCACATCCAATGTGTAATGTCAAAACATCTTGTCAACATCTCTTATAAAGTCAGTCAAGCGGACCGAATTGTCTAAGCATTTATATCTAATACGTTTTTTGCTTGTATTTACTTTAGAGGTTTGATCGGAAAATTAGACTAGCTGAGATCCGATCAAAAAGTTAATCATAGAAATGGTGTAGTATTATTAAGTTCGATTCTTTATTATTTCCTAACTCGTAAGTTATATAGTTTAACAGCAACACAATTGTAGGATGGTTGTATTATTTTCGAAAAAACTTTTAATAAAACTGGATAATATATATAAAAATTGAATGGTACATATCATTGATATCCACAAGTTAATCTAGGCGTGACAATCAAGCCAGCACTTACTTTCTTGCTCAATGAAAGTTTCACACATACCTATCATATTCCTGAAAAAAATCCATTGCGTAAAGGACACATGAAACTCACAATAAAACTGCAAGAGATAACTTAATACTCTCTGACCCAAATATAAGCAACGTTCTGGAAAATCAAGGTGAATGGCTGCACGCTAGTGCGCCTTCGCCAAAAGGAAAATGTTGTCAGCATTCGTAAATCGAACGCGAAACGAAACGCACTGGCCAGCTTATAAAAAATAAACTCGACTAGGTATCTGTTTATATTTTTTTATTTTTGTGATCTGAAGTGGCGGGAAAATAAAGTTGTTTTGATTTTTTAATATGACAATTTACAGTAAAATTGTACAAATTATTTTAGTTAGTGTGTGATGAGTTTCGGAAAGGATTTCAGTCTTGAAGGTTTGTTTTTCTTTTCCTTTTTTTTCTTACATTATTGAACAAAATGGCTGACGACTTGTAATTACCAGTTGCAACACTAGTAGCCCATAATTTCACTCATGAACCTCAAAGTTCATGCTATTTGCGGCAAATTTTCATAATTTACTTTTTTTCATCCTTGATTGTTTTGCATTATAATCCTTCTGCAGAAGTATGATTCATCGTTGGTAATTGTCGTGCAATAATATATTATCAACAGTGTTAGTTATTATTATTTATAGCATTTTATGTTTTTGGTAATGTTATCCTCTGCACTTTTTACATCTGTTTTTTTTGGTTTCCAACGTATTAAGTTTTTTTTAAATTTATTTTAGTAAAATCGTTATTGGTTTTAAGGGGAACTTAAAAGGAAACCATCCTTATAAATTATAATTAAATAAGTTCCTAGCGTACGTACGTAACGTAAAGTTGTTGCAGTTTAACCGTTCTCTACTTTTGAGAAGTCACTTATATGACACAATATGACTTTATTTGACTATTTTTCAGACTATTTTTCAGAACTTCGATAATGCACTTAGCTTGTGGAGGTCTGAGGGCAGTCGCTTCACGTAAAAAATCGAAGTTCAGACATTTCGTAACACTAAAAGCCGACCCCAGCCTAGTTTGGGAAAAGGTTGAGGAAAGGTAGTAGTAGTACTAGGAAAAGGTAGTTGGGGAAAAGCACGGCGTATTCGTGGCTCACTGCTGTAGATCCTGGTGTACAGGAGTAACAGTGGTGGGCGTGTGGGTGGGTTTAGTCCCAAAAAAAAACTATTTAGCAAGTTAGGTTATAAAATACATAAATAACAATTGCCTTTATCTGACCAGGTACCTTAAAAACAAAATTGATACTTAAAATTATTTTATGCCAAAACGAACGGTTAACAATATCTCGGTAACTAAGATAAAATAAAAAAGTTTAGTGTATAAGCTGTAAAATGGGAATAAAATGCGCTGAGTATAACTGTACTTTCTGTCTATTTTCTTTACTCAGCACTGTTAGTATATCCGCGTGGTGACAGATTAAGACTACGAAGTGTCAGCACCACTATTCATCCCGTATGTGACTTAAGAGCCGACTAATAGAGCATCCTACGCAGGACAACACCACTACAAAGAGAAGGAAAACTTGACACAAACCCTATACCAACCCGTCTGACCAGCGTGTTATAGTAAACGAAAACCTCCTTTCTAAGGAGAGGCCTATGTCCAGCAGTGGTCTATTAAGGGCTGTTGATGTGATTGGTATGGGTAAGCCAGTTTTAGAAATATAATGTAAACGGAACTAAACTTATTCAATTAAATACTCAGTGTATTGCATTCAATCAATTCTTATTCAAATATTTATATTGTTACTTGTACAAGGACAAGTTAACAAGCTGACAAGTAAACTACAACATTTATTCGAACTCAGTATTTGTAAGTGAGAGAGAGAGAGAGAGAGTAAGAGATAAATACTTTAGAAATGCTAATTTAAATCATTGAATATGATTGAGTTGTGAACCGGAACACTCCATTTTTAAATATTTGTACAGCATTGAGAACTTCAGTAGTTAGTGTCAATCATCAATCGAAATCAAATCAAATCGTCAATCATCATCATCAATTAGTGTAAATAAATAACTCATAATGTGTGATTTTTTAAAAGTTTGGTTTTTAATATACAAAAAAAAACAGGAAAATTGAAAAAATGTATAAAAAATTATTGGGGTTAATAATAATCTATCCTTGCTATTTATTTTTTAAAGATTATTTCATGTAATGTTGACCACGACTACGTTTAAGATGATCCATACGTCATTGCACGATAGCGATCACCATTGACGGTAACGTTGTTCTCATCTTCATATTTAAAGAAGTACGGGTCAACGATTCCTCTAGAGTTCTAGACCACAAACTGCAGCGAACAGTACATTTTCCGGGATGCATTGGCAGCTCTTGTATTGCTTGTGGCTGCTCATCGGACCAAATACGGCGATTTTGCTTATTAACGTATCCGTTCAACCAAAAATTTGCGTCATCGCTAAAGACAGCTTTTAGATATAAAAGCTACAGCTTTTTTTCAACCTATTCACCAAAAACACGACGCTATGGCTTCAGTTCCTGGACAAGCTGTATCTTATACGCCTTAAAACCAAGATCTTTGCGTAAAATCTTCCACGTAGTGGAATAACACAATCCCAGTTGTTTCTAACGACGACGAATGGATAAATCACGATGTTCTGCAACACTGGCGGCTACAGCACCAATATTTTCTTCTATACGCATTCTACGCACACGGTTGGGTGGTTTAATATCCAATAATGCTCAGTAGGGCGATTATGGCGACGATAAAATGGTCGAAGTGCGCGTCCGGCGTAGTCGATTTTTGCCAGAGCTCTGATTTTAATAATAAAATTCAATGATTTGTAAGCGTTGTTCGTTTCTAAGTCTTGCCGTAATGAAATGTCAATGAAAAATACCAACTTTAATTTTGGCACATGACTGTCAAAAACAGTGCGCTGAAAAAACAAACAGCAAAAAAATCACCCGTTGAGGCAAATTCTTATTGTTCCGAGTTCTCCTTTAATAGTTTTTTGAAATTACAGGTACTGCATAATGTACTGACCACGTATTTTGTTTGCCATGTGAACATTAACGTGGGTGAAACCGCGAGCAAAATTTAGTTTCGCTATGAATGTAGAAGTACACACATACTCTTGACGTTATTTAACGTTGTGTGGCATTGACCTTGGTAGTTGAGGGATCCTGAGCACCGCTTTGTAAACTCTTGGCACAGTTTTTAAGGTTTATTTACATATATACTTAGAGTTAATACGCGTACTAGTGCAAGAAATACAAATGTATGATGGTATACGACTATTATGTATTTTGCAAAAAAAAATCAGCAAATTTAAGTGAACTGTTATTTTTATAACACTAAAAACTGTTTTATTTATGTGTGAAAGGTGCCGAATCTATTTATCTTGTACCCGACTTCAATAGCACCTGCGACTACCTACAGGGGTCAGCCCTGTAGGTAGTCGCAGGTGCTATTGAAGTCGTGCTAGCTTTATAGTAAAGCGATTGTTCAAATTAGGTCTATTCAAAGGTAGGTGTCAAATTATCGACGGTAACAGTAACTGGATATATCTAACTTAAGTGCAGGAAAATTGATTCGATCTATTAAAAAACGAAAAAAATGCCGCACCGCGGGCGCTGTGACGTAGAACTCGATGCAATAGATATAAACAAAATATTTAACCCTGTCGGTTTGTCCAACAACTATATAATTTATATATAACAATATTGTTCGTAGTATGAAAATAGATAGACAGTACTATAATATATGTAATAGCAACTTTAACAAAATGAAATAATTAAATTAATAAAAGGTATTTATAAACTAACATAGCTACAATTAACAAAAATATTTACACGTAAAATAATTAGGGTCCGCTACATCGGGTATTTAAACAGTCGACAGCAGGAGACCTTTAGCACTGCCCTCTGTTCTCTCGGCAATTGAAGAGAACAGGTTTTGTTAGTGACACCCCAAACCAGCAAACAATATCTTACTATAGATTGACACAATGGAGTAGGCATATATTATATGATTACAAAACATTCTTCAATTTACAGTTTTCCTTTTTTTTTAATAGTTACATATTAAGTTTACCACACGGCCCGATAATAATTTTGTGTCTATCTATCTGTAATTTAAGGTATTTGACGCACCGCAGATATTTAAATAAGCTTTAAGAAGGCATGTTTTGTAGACAAAGATTAAAGTGTTTTTTCTTTGAAAAGGGGTCGGATTGAAATAAAGTCAGAGGGAAGGACACACTTTGCATTTATTGATTTCCAGTTAATACCGTCAACTAAAACAGCTTTGTCGTCTGCAAAACTAAAAATCATACAGTAGGCACCTAGCATAGTCCATTTAGGTAAATATGGGGGTAGATAATATGTGGGGTCCAAAATGATACCTTGGGGCACACCAACTTTTAAAAGTGAAGATTTCACATTCATACTTATTTACTTTAACTATTTAAGTTCGCACAATTAAATGGATTTTGTATAAACTGTGAGAAATACCTCTTACACCTGTCTTTTCTAATTTATTCAAGGTAATTAAACAAAGACGGTATCAATAGCCTTGGATAGATCAAGACAAATTTTATCATTTTTCTTTTGAGACATTTTGATGACGCCTTTAAGACATCATATCCGCTACAGAATATCAGCATAGAGCTATGGCTATGGGAAAACCCTCTACTTTAATAGAGATATTGTTCAGTTCTAATACGAGTAATTCTGAGAAATCACTTGATGATACAAACATAAGCTAGACCAACAAAAAAGTCAAGTACAATCACAGTAGATACATTATTTGATGTGATGCATCATCATTCATAATAATCACAGACTCACGGTTGACGTTACTCTAGTGACCTTGAGCATGAAATAGTCATCACTTCCCTGTACCACTACTACTGAAAGAAATCAAAATCGTTTCAGAAATAGGATCAGCCTGTTTCTGGAACGATACATTTAATTTAAATTAATTCCTAACATGCTTTTTAAAAATAAGGTTATTATACTCGTAGCAGAAAAAACTACATGTATATTAAAATATGACTCATTTAATTGTCCATAAAATGGAGAGTTCAATGAAAACCTGTTAATTAGTGCTAGTGTAATAATACAGTATACATAAGCTTTTAAAATAATAAAGTTAAAATAGTATCATATTGCAGTGCAACCTACAGCCGATTTAAGTAGAGCTTGTACTTTGGCTTTGGAAATCGGAAAAAAAACATAGTACACAAACAAATATGTGTACACAACATAATAACATAGTAACATAATATGTTCATCCCATCACTTGGATAATCGGTGAGCTTTTGTAAAAAGTTATTGCCTCAAACAACCGATTTGTCACCTGCAGTATTTCCGGACCGATATGACCAACACCCTTCAAGACAAGAAAATCCTAATTA